TTTTTTTTTTTTTTTTTTAATACACATTTACAACTTAAGTTCTTCGCCGTGTTCACTGACATTGAAAAATAAAATCCTGATGACTCATTGCAAAAAAAAAAATAAGCATTTCTTCCTTCTGTTCCTCCTGCTTGGTTTCCTCTTGAACCGATTAATCTTCGATGAAACATAGGAGCTATCCTTCCTGTTATCTTCCGTCACTTTTTCTTTTCTTTCTATTACTAACTGTAAAATAGTTGAATTACAGTTGGTAACTTCCCCCCTCCCCCTCCTTCCTTCAAATTAAAAAAGTGCTTTTCTTATCATCACTTTCTTCTCTCTGCCCATCAATTTATTAAATTTTTTGTCAGAATTTGACAAACGTTGCAGCAGAATTTGCATTACATGAAGAGTTAATGTTACGTTTGCAGAAAAAGTAGAGAAGAACAAAAAACTGAAACTAGGGAACCATTTTTATGAAGCAGCTATGTTCCTTGCTAGAAAGAAGTTTTACATAAAAAGCGAATGGTAACAAACAAAAAATGATACGGGGGATAAACGTAAAAGATAGACAAAAAAAAAAAACAAAAACAACTTCAAAAACTATAATGATAATGACAGAAAAGTTGTAGCAGATGGATGAATAGTATAATTTTTTTACGCTTATTAAAATCAGCTGATTTGACAACACTTTAAAATGGTTTACTTCAGTGAAACTTTCTGTAACGCTAAGATTTAAAATACAGAAAACGGAAAAGCTTTTTAAAAAAAGGCTATAAAAGCAGCCTTTGATGTATTTCTTTCTCTTCTTTTTTTTTTTCTTTGAACAATGAGCTCAAAGTTTTGCAGTTTTAGACAAAATCCTCATATTACAACCATTATGCAGCATAATTTCACTTATTTTACACATTTTCTTCTCCTTTTTCATATTTTGTATACAAATACGACAAATGAGCATTTCACATAAGTGATAAAGCAACTTGAGATACGAACAGTGATCGTTTGTAGTTGAAATATAGCTAAGACCACGCCAACGACGGTTTCTTAATCCATTGACGCCAGCTAAAGTTCATTAACTCGGACCAAATTTCTCCGTAACAAACTTTCAGCAATCTGAGCATCTAGCCGGACATCTTTTGCCGTCTGACGTCGGTTGTTGTTCTGCGCCGCAGACTTTTTCCGTTCAATTTCCTCCTCAATTGCCTTCTCTACTCGTTTCACCTTACGACGTCGAGCCAATTCATTACACGACCAATACAGAGCAATCAATGGAAATATTACTAGCCCACCCAAAGCCCCCATCCTAAGTAAAAAAAAAAATTTAGTTTCAGTTATCAGTCATTTAAAATGAAATTGAACATTTCAATTTTTTTAATTTGTAATTAACAGTAAAAGAAACGCAGATTGATATGTACTATTCTAAACTTTTTCTGCTCTTTCAATTTATTTTGTTTATTTATTTTACTTATTAAGAGGTAAAAGCATTACATGAAAAACTTCTATTCAGTGAACAGAAAGATATGGAAGTTTCACTTAAAAAATAGGTTTATTCAACTTTTCGCTCTAATTTTTCTTCATTATTAGCAAAGTTATTTGAAGATTTCTGTTTTCCTTATGATCAACCTATATTTTACAAAAACAGCCTTTCTTTAATGACGTTTTCCTTTATGTTTTCATTAAAAATTTGTCAGGATCTGCTGTAAGCAATTCTTGACAAAAAGAAATGAAACTAACAGAACTATCTTTAAGCTAGAAATGAAAAAAGTTGGCAAACTTTCTCTTCCAGCAAGCTCAATAACAAGCTGCTTTTTAAAAATCTGAATTATTTCTTAAACAGATCTAACGAGAAAAGAAGTTCAAAGTTGCTGAGAAGAAAGAAGCAATTTTAGTGTCTTTTTTTATGTGGCTACTAAGCAAAGAAAAAAAAGCACGTTGAAAAAGACTGATGTCTTAATTTAGTTACTTTTTTGTCACTTTTTTGTTGTAGTACTGCAACACCTTTTCACGCTTCAATTCTTCACAAAATTCCCCAGAATGAGGCTGTTCACAAATGCATTGATTTGTCGTCCTTTCCAATGTACCATAGGTACCGCAATCTTTCCAAACACAGTCCGGTTTTTGGTAACCAAACGAACATCTTACACACCTTCAACAGAATAACATCTATGTTACAGAGAGTTTAACTTTTCTTACGCAAATTTTTAACCGCCTAAATAAAGAAAAAATTCATTCCAAAATTATATTTTGTAGTTTTGACAAGGAAACAAAAATAGCAGAAAACTAACAGTACAAAAATTTACATCTTTAAAGCTAACCATTCTACATGCATACTCTATCGCTAAGGCGACTAGATGTTAAGCAAAACCGTATAGGACTAACATTCCATTGCTTTTTCGTTCAAATCCTGCGCAATTCATCTTGCGTTCACAGTGTATTCCGGTCCAGTCATAATCACACCGGCAAAATCCAGCATCGTCTGATCTACCGTGCGCGCATCGTATTGCACTTACCAAGAGCATTAAATTTGTTGAAAAAATTACAAGCAGGCAATAGATGAACAACGATTTAAGCATTATCTTCTTTGCCACTAAATTATCAACCAAATAACATTTTGTAACAGAATGATACATCAGCCAAAATCGGTAATTTACTGCAGCTTACTCCAGTATCGATCTCAAATTTTTACCTCACATTTCAGCGATACATTCTTTCCATACACCGGTGACGTATTTCAACAGCAAAATAAGACAAGAAAAACAAATGCACAAATATAGACAAATCAATTCGAAATTAATGATACATAATAACAGCTTCTGTTTCTGATCTATATAAAATTTTTGTACAAGTTGAAAAATGCAATATAAAGATGTTTCTGTAATGAAAAAAAGGATAAGACATTTAAAAGATACAGAAACTTAAGAAACGGTAGTACATAACAGAATTAAAAACGAATTAAAAAGTTTGAATATGTTTTTTTTTAGAAAACAAAAAATTCTAAAACACTTTTTTCTTTTTTATTTCTTTTTTGTCTCTAAAATTAAGCATAAACATAAAATATAAATAAAAAAACGTAGTTTCAAAAACAAAAATGAATACCTTTTTGTTTGTTTTTGTTGCTTTGACTTTCCCCATAAACTTCCACCTTGAACTTGTACGATTCTTGAAAAGTCTTACCCCAAACAC